AAGATCTCTTTCACGGGCACACAAACATACATACACAAAGAAACACACACATACACACACACACACACATACAAACAAGCAAGCACACACACACATACAAACAAGCAAGCATACACACAAAAACAAGCAAACACACACATACATACACGCACACACACACACACACACACAAACAAACAAACAAACAAATAAACACATAAAACGCAAACACACACACAACTAACCTAAAGAACAACGTGGAACTGTGTGTCAGTCCTTTCAGCCGTTTTTTGTTTTTTGTTTTTTGTTTTTCTTAACAATCAACAGAACAAAAAATACATCGACTTGAATTTTACATTAATCCCGGATGTTCTTGCGAGTGTTTAGGAAATATGATCTAATATAGTCGACGAATTACTGAGAGGCGTGCAAAAAAGGAGAGGAAAAACATGATACTTTCCAGCAAAAAGAATCTTATGGATACCCCTTCCCCCCCAAAAAAAAGTAATAATAACAATATAATAATAAAATAAATAAATAAAAAATAAATAAATAAATAAAAATAGATACTGGTCATACAAATAAACAATGATATACTGCCGGTTTGTTAGAATTGTGCGGGGCCCGACCCAACGAATATTCGTATACTTGACAGGCATAAATAAAGAAATAAATGCAGTCTAGACATGTATATCAACAGGGCACATAGATGGTTAAATGTATATCTATCAGATATATAGACAGATATGCCTTTATTTCTGCGTCAGTATTTATGGAAATTCATTGGCTCGGGCCTGGCACAATTTTAACAAACTGGCCGATAGACGATGATCCTTGTGGAGCAACTTGGATGATATTCAATAATTAATTTTTTGTGTGAAAAGTGAAATATAAAAAAATAATAATTAAAGAATTTTTGATCGTAGGAGATATTATGAGAGCATTCCTTTTAAACAAACCAAATTATGATATAAAAATGGTATTTATAATGTAATTCACGTATGAGAAACATGTTTCTCTCTTTGCATTTGTTGAGAGAGAGAGAGGGAAAGGGAGAGAGGTGGGAAGAGGGAGAAAAAAGGAAAAGAGAGACAGGGGGAAGGTTGACGGTGAGAAAGGGTAGCTGAGAGAACACAGAGAGAGATAGCGAGGGGGGAAGGGGGACGGTGAAAAAGGGTAGATGAGACACACACACACAGAGGGGGAAAGGGGGAAGGTGAGAAAGGGTAAGTGAGAGAGAGAGAGAGAGGAGAGAGACGAGAGAGAGGAGAGACGAGAAGAGAGAGAGAGAGAGAGAGAGAGAGAGAGAGAGAGAAGAAAGAGAGAAAGAGAAGAGAGAGATTGAGAGAGAGAAAGAGAGATAGTTTTTTGAGAGACGATTTGAATTTCTGTGGAATGCGAAGAAAGAGACCTCAGCTCAGCTTCAGTATTTGACATTTGAGCTTGATGGTTATTCTCCTCCAGTGTTAATTTAAAACAGTGGAGAGAAATGTGTAGGTTCAGGGAAGTTCTTTACACTTACATTTACAAAACACCCACAACAACACTAAACAACAACACAACACACACACACACCACACACACACACACACACACACACACAGCACACACACACCACCACATATATATATGTGTGTGTGTGTGTGTGCGTGTGTGTGTGTGTGTATGTAATATAAAGGATATATGTGTGTACATATATGTACACACACACACATATATACACATATATATTCTAGATATTACTCATCAATAAATATTGACCCACAACTATGTCACACTTGCCCTTAGTACAAACAAGGTCGATGAAAAACATGTCCCGCCTGACCTTCAGGAATGGTCACAAAGGCGCGACGGATGAGTATATAAAGGAGCGGAGGTTCTTGCCTGCCATCAGTTCCCTCTCAAAGTACTGAAGTCAACATGAACGCAAAGGTTTGTAGTGTGATTCTTCAGATAACTAATCTTGTTTATGCTCTAACTTCCTGAATATAATGTGTGCAATATGTATTATATGGGAAATTTTCTTACGTTTTCTTATTTTTCAGGTCTTCATCCTCCTCGGCCTGGTAGCTGTTATTGCTGCCGACAAATTTGTGAGTAACTTTTGTTTTTCTTTTATAAATACGACTGAAAGGTATATTCCTCTTATACGCCATGAAGAGTTGGCTTGTGAAGAACTTTTTTTTTTTTTTTTTTTTTTTTTAAGGAAAATTGAGTTAGATGCGACTTAGACTCTATGATAAAATTGCAATGATTTAAAGCTTTCATTTTGTGCACATTTTCTGTAAGGGAATCCCTCATATAAATAATGGTATCATAACTGACGGATTAGTAAAATCTTCCTCAGTCAGACCTGTCATGAAACAACTTGTACGTCGTTGGTTTTCCAGGAATCTTTCGAGTCTGGAGAGGCCAGGTATGAGTTCGACTGGGCCGTCAACCACGACGACTCCGACAACGACTTCGGACACCAGGAGGCTCGCAACAACGACAACACTCAGGGATCCTACTACGTGCAGCTCCCCGACGGCCGCCTGCAGACCGTGAGGTACGTCGTGGACGGCGACGACGGCTACGTGGCTGAGGTCAACTACGAGGGCGAGGCTCGTTACCCCGACTCCAATGAATCAAAATAATTTGACTCAAACGTCCCATTATGAATCGGCTGACAACGACCTCTTGATATGACGTACACATATATATCTGTATATATATTTATCTCTCCTCTGAAATAAAGATTACAATTGTTAAGAAAAAGTATCTTTTAATCATATAATGATTGTGGTGATGATAATACTATCTATCGCAATGTTGACAACAGTAAAGATAAGAGCGATAATATTACTGTAGGTAAATAACAATGAAGATAATTATGATGATATGTAAGGGAACGATAATGATGGCGATACGGATGATGCGATGTGATGAAGAGGGTAATGATGTTGAAGAAAAAATAAAGACAAAGATAACTAGAAGCACTCAGAGAGCGCATACCTCCGCTAAGGCAATAGTGTTACTGATGAAATAAAAAATATATATACAAATTTGAAGAATTACATTAAATCACCTATTCTCAGGTACACCGGTGACGCCTGTGTTTCCCTATCTCACAATGCTAATGAATTCTTCAATAAATTCCTTGATGAGGATCCGGATTATCACAAAAAAAATAATACTTTAATTATAGAATTTATTGAGAGTGATTAGAAACTTTTGAAAAATGATTATTATTTTTAATTATTATTATTTTTTTAATCAGAATGTATAATGTCCCATACTTATTAGGAGACAACTGATGATGTTCCTAGGCTTCCAGGAATCTTTTTAATAGAAAAAGCAATGTCATTTCTAAAATGATACTTGGAAATAATTGTCAGCAAATAATCGGAGATATTTTGAAGAAATTGATCTGAAACTCGTTAGATAATTTCCGATAGATTAAATTAGTAATGATGGTAATGATGATATTAATAACGATAACACTAATACTAACAATGATGGCAATAAAAACAATGAGGATAATGATTTTGAAAATTATCATTATAAATATATAATGATATTAATGATGATACTAAAAGTAATTATAATAATGATAACTATATAACTATATATTATGCCAATAAGGACTAAGAAATTAATAATAAATAATTATGGTAAAATCAATAGCAATGATAACGATGAAAATAAACAATAATAATAGTAGTAATGATAATGAAAATGACAACAGTAAATTGATAGTTATAATAACATTAAAAAAAACATACATAAACACTAACATCTACCTATCTATCTAGCATTGTTTGCTTTAAAGTAGGTCTTAATGGTGATATCCTTCTATATGAATAACATGAATAAGAATAGGATAGAATATGAAAAGTAATAACATCGACGTCATAAGTATGGGCAGACAAACATGAAACGGCATATGACTTGCTAGTGCTTTATAAAGTGACTTTTGTGTAAGAATAAAAAGCCACTAAATTGTTTTTCTTGTGAAAGATTCACTCCTGAGTTCAACGTGGAAGTCTACTCCTCAGTATCACCAATGGTGCTGAGTGGAAATGAATGAAACGTATATATAATACTCCTGCATGTCAGCACATTCTATAGCAGATATATTATATCGTGTGAGTATATACTGTGATTTCATAGCCCCCGTCTCCTCTACTCTCTCTCTCTCTTTTGCAGCCATTTTCACAATTTATTTGCTTGCGTCTTTACAGATCTGTAATACCACAGCACAGGGGTCAACTGGGGAGGCATATCACTGGGAAACCTTTATTGTTGTCGGCGTCTTCCATCTCCTTTTCCGTTCTTCTCCTCACCTGAATGAAAACCCCCTGCCTCAAGCTTGTGGTTTTCTTCTTTACTAACAAAGAGATGACTGCGTGCGTATTAGACATTTTCAAGAGCCATACTACTACAGCAATTCAAATATTGTACATGGCAAGTTAGTTGCTGTAGCATGCAGTTGCTGGCCCTACGAACGAGGAGCACCAAGGCCCTGCATTTGATAGGGACACCCATTGAACATTTTCATTTGGTTCTTTCCTTAGTTAACAGTCTGGTGGAAAAATATCAGCATCCCACTCGCTAACAGCCAATAAACAATCGTATTCCTTCCTAACCGATGACAATTATATACTTGCCCGATGCTGAAATCAATATCTTAATGCATATATTTTATGAAATGTTGGTCTCCTCACAATGTAATGTGTACTAATGGCATATAATCCGTTGAAAATGAAGAATGAACATAGATATTTGGTACTCATGATTCTTCTTCTCATACTAGATTTTACAAATTTGAATATTGAAATATGAGTTTGCCAGCTGTATCTATGCTGACATGTTTCTATGTATTTTCAGATCCAATATCTACTTTTTTGTTTGTTTGTCTTGAATGTTGCCCCATGACTTTGTCAAATGTTCCCTGCGTGTAGGCTGGGTCAGTGGAAAAACATGTCCCGCATGACCTTCAGCAGCGGTCACAAAGGCACGGCAGTCGAGTATATAAGAGAGCAGAGGTTCAGGACTGCCACCAGTTATTCCTGAAACCAACGAACTCAACATGAACACAAAGGTAAGTAGTGACCAAAGCTTTGTGAATAGGATTGTGTTATATCACTTTGACTTTCACAATTCAGAGCTAAACTTGAGTAAATCTGCATGCATTGTACCGTACACATTGCTGTACAACTCTAACATTATTTCTTTTTACTTCTCAGGTTTTCATCCTTTTCGCCCTGGTGGCTGTTGTTGCTGCAGACAAGCTGGTGAGTAAAATACTTTATTCAATAGTAAAATACCAGTCATTTTATGTGATATGAGAAATGGCACTAAACTTTAAGAATGTCCCTTACCCATAAAATCAAAAACTGCAGAATGTATTTTCACGCATCATTAAACCCAAATATCCTGATGGAAATATACTTTATATTGATGAAACAATTGTTATTGATCTTGACTTCCTAGGAATCGTTCGAGTCTGGAGAGGCCAGGTATGAGTTCGACTGGGCTGTCAACCACGACGACTCCGACAACGACTTCGGACACCAGGAGGCTCGCAACAACGACAACACTCAGGGATCCTACTACGTGCAGCTCCCCGACGGCCGCCTGCAGACCGTGAGGTACGTCGTGGACGGCGACGACGGCTACGTGGCTGAGGTCAACTACGAGGGCGAGGCTCGTTACCCCGACTCCAATGAATCAAAATAATTTGACTCCTGCGTTCCATTATGGATCGGCTGATGAATTATGAATCTTCTGATGACGAACTTATGTATCTGTATATATATTTATCATGACTTTTGAATAAACTCTATGATCATATAAGTGATGTTGATTATATTCACAAAAAATAATCCTGATAATGACATTTTCCTTAAAATAAAAATCAAATTGTTAATAAGTATCACTATGAAAAGGAATATATAACTAACGAGAATTTTAGCATTTTCGATAATAAGAAAGCTAATAATAAAGATTATATAAGAAAGCTATAAAGAAATATGAAATAATATTGGTTACAATAAAAATAGTAACATCAATATAGATGAAAGTCATTATTGAAATTCTAAACTATATAGAGGGTGTTTTCTAATATATCCTGTGTTTATTGGCAGAGAGAGAGAGAGAGAAGATCATTAAAAGATATTAGCCTTATGTAATTGTGGTAACAACAATGCCTTAGTAAATAAAATAAAAGAAAGAAAGAATCAAGGCTTTTCCGCATAAAAAAAAACAGTAATATATACATATAAATGTACATATATATTATATATATTAATATATAATTTATATAAGTATATATAATATAAATATAAATATTATATATATATATATATATATAGTATATATATATATAATATATATATACTATATATATATATATATATATATGTATATATAGTACATACACATACACACACACAATTATACCACACAACACACACACACAACACAATATATATATATATATATACATATAATATAATACACACATAATATATATATATATATATATATATATATATATTATATATATATATATATATATATATATATATAAATATATTATATAT